AACTCCCAGGATTCCCCAGTATGCTTGGGGGGATGAAGAATTCTGGGAGTTGAAGTCCACACGCTGCAAAGTTGCTGAAGTTGAGAAACACTGCTCTAGAGCACTGTTTCCCACCTCAGCAACTTTAAGAGGCATGGACTTCAACTCCCAGGATTCCCCAGTATGCTTGGGGGGATGAAGAATTCTGGGAGTTGAAGCCCACACATCTTAAAGTTACCAAAGTTGGGACACAGCCCTGGGGGTCAGCCATCATCCCCTGGGCACAGCTCCATTGGTTCAACTCCCTCCCCAATCAGTCCATTCAACTTGGGCCCGAGCTCTCAATCCTGGCCCCTCTAGCGCATCAACTCTATCCCCGCCCCCCTTCTCAGCCACCATGCCTCTAAAGTCCCCCCCACCCCGGTTCCTTCATTCCCCAACTGGCTTCTCACCCAAATTCATGGCTTCGGAGTGCATACAGACGGCACGTGCAGCCGAGCGCTATGACCAGAAGAAGACCGCACACCAGGCTGCCGATGACGGCTGCCGTCACCACCTTGCGCGGCAGGATGTAGGAGCAATCCGCCTCATCGGAAGTGTCGACGCAGTCCGCCTGCCCGTCGCACACCCAGCTCTCGTAGATGCAGCGCCCGTCACGGCAGCGGAAGTTGCCAGGTTGGCAGGTGTAGCAGTGGCGCTCGTCCGCAGCGTCGGCACAAAACGTCTGGTAGTTGCAGCGGTCGGCGGGCCCGTAGCAGATGGTGCCCCCGATGCCTCGTCCTCCGCAGGCGTATTGCCCTGGCGGGCAGCCGTGACAGCTGTCCTCATCGGCACCATTGGCGCAGTCCCAGTTTCCATCGCAGCGCTCAGCAGCGCTGTAGCACGTAGCCCCCTCCCCGCTTTCTCCACCGCAGGGGAAATCCCACGGCACGCAGAAACCTTGCACGTGGTATGTGGCGTTGAAGCCGCGGCCTTCTGTTCCTGGCGCCGCCTGGTAGGTGACCCAGGCCCGGCTGGAGGGGGAGTCCACAGACACGACCTTATTGTTGCTGGTGTAATCCAAGTTGCGCAGCAGGTGAGGGTGGGGCGGGGCCCCAGGAGCCCCATCGTACACCCGGAGGGAGTCCCCGATATCTAAGTTGAGGACTGTGAAACGAATGGTGAGGGGACGGCTGTCGTGGGCATCAAGGACCCACTGGCAATGCGCAGCTCCCAGGTATGAGTCTGAGCCAAAGGCCGGTGAGTAAATTACCCCGTAGAAGTTGTCCAAGGTGCGGTTACATGAGACAGCAGGCTGTGTTTTAGATTCTGAAGCAGAGAAAAATAAAAAAGAAAGAAAACAAAAATGAGGCCGTTTTATTATGTAGCAAGAGACCCAGGCAACAACCTCCTTCTGGGCCACCTTTGTCTAGAATTCCTCTCTAGAGGAGCTAGCAGGATCCTAAATTTTAGATACAGCTCGTCCTTGTTTAGCAACCACAACTGGGACCAGCAACTCGGCTGTTAAGCAAAGCAGTCGCTAAGTGAACCCCCAACTGTGTTTATGATCTTCCTTCAGCTTTCCTTTGCTTTACACACCAGTGATGGTTGAAAATGCGAGGATTGGTTGCAAGGTTACTTTTTCATCACTGTGTCATAACTGTGAATGGTCACTAAATGAGTCAGTCCCTAAAAAAGGACAACTTGTAATGGTTTATGTTTCACTCTGTAAGGCGTCTGGTCTGTGCTATATTCTTCATTTGTCATTGTCTCGATTCTGGCTTTTCTGAGCTTATTTTTTATTTATTTATTTATTTATTTATTTATTTATTTAT